AGTGGGTGAAAATTTGGGTGTGTCTTATATACTGAATGTAGCTCCACCAAACCCACCGGCCCACACCCTTTGGCCTTTGCCTCCCAGCAATTTGCCCCTTGCAGCAAACTGCAAACAGTCCATTTCACTTTCAGTTTCAGTTTCAGCTAGGACCTCCCAATGATCAGCGGTTTCAGGCTGCAGAGATTGCCATAGCCTATTGCCACCTCCGCAAGCCCCATTTTCCCATTTGCTGCAAGGAGGTAAATTGCTGGGAGGCAAAGGCCAAAGGGTGTGGGCCGGTGGGTTTGGTGGAGCTACATTCAGTATATAAGACACACCCAAATTTTCACCCACTTTTAGGGGGTGGAAAGATGCATCTTATACTCCAAAAAATATGGTACTTGCTGTGAAAATGTTTTACATGGAGCAATGTTTTGTACACACATAAACAAACACAAAGACCATTTCATTTAAAACAATAAATCTAGTGTCTTCTTCTATCACAATAGCTATATGGAGAAATAGTTTGGGTGTTGTGGTTAAGGAATCAGTCTAAAAAATCCGAGACCTGTAGTAGCAGGTCCTGCCTTAGGCATGAAGCCAGGTGGGTGACCTTGGGCCAGTCACAGTCTCTCAGCCCTAGGAAGAAGGCAATGGCAACCACTTCTGAAAGAAAAAAACCATCGCAAGAAAACTGCAGAGACTTGCCCAAGCAGCCTCTGAGAATTGGGCACAACTGAAGGGTAGGGGGAAAGAAATACTTGATGAGCTTAATGGAAGTAATTTTTGTAACAGGGCTGTAGGAAAATCAGTGCAAATAGAGAGTAACTTGCTTAAGAGCAAGAGAGTAAGTGAATGGCAGAGGTCAAATGAGGGTTTATGGACCTTGTGATTCTTTCTGTGATGATATTGTTTCCCTGATTCATTATGTCATAACATACAGACAACTCTGAATGAATGGATATATCTGATGGCATAAGAGTTTTGGGCAATTGAAATGTATCCCAGACAAGCAAGCACTTCTATTTTCACTGCTTTCCTTAAACAGGCAATTCAGTAAAAGCCCAAAAGGGCCATATATTGCTAAATGTCCCATTGATTCACCATTTTGGGGGGGAAGGTATTTTGACTATAATTCAAAACATTCTCACATTTTGGTGTTCTTTTTCAAACGGATGAACCCAGCAAAATTATGGTACATTCAGTTTTAGATTGGCTCATGGTCAACAGTGACAACTTTCCCCAAAGAGAAATAGCATTTTCAGTTGTTCTTTAATGCAATTTGCTCTTGCCTGAAATCTCAAAACATGGCTTCTTGGAGACAGCTTCTTCCATTTCCTTGATGTAGGGATGACCAAGATGGCCAAGATGATTGACGAGCGGCAGCAAGAACTTACTCATCAGGAGCACCGAGTCATGCTGGTCAACTCCATGAACACAGTGAAGGAGCTCCTCCCTGTCCTTATTTCAGGTAAGCCTCGANAGGAGGTAAGTCAATAACTATAAATGCCTATAGAATGTTCAAATTATTAGACTTATTTTTTAAAGACTGCTTTATTATTGTTCTAGACAACTTAAAAAAAATGAAGCTTTTAAAAATAAATACGTGATCTAAAGAGGCCCAGTGCTATTGTATCTTCTTTTAAATAGCAGAGAATTACATATACTTCCAGAAAGCCAGATCAATTTTAACAGCATCTGTACAAGTATAGTCTGAAGTGTAACACCACCACAAACAGTGTACATCGTCTGTACTGCTTGCTGTTTGTCACAAGGAGGCAAATTGCTGGAAGGCAGAGGCAGATTTTTCCCCCTTGTTTTTCTCCCCAAAAGCTTATATGCGTCTTATACTTCAGAGCATCTTATACTCTGAAAAATACGATATTTGTTTTTATTTATTAAATTTATATGCTACCCATCTCAGGCCACTCTTATTCACTTCAAGCTTACACAAACCAAAACAGCAATGCTGAGGAATGATGGAATCTACAAATCAGTAGCTTCTGAAAACAATAGGATTCGTCCATCTTCCATGGCACTGCAGAAGGCCTTTTATGAACTCTTCCCCTTCTGAAACATATGTTCAGACTTCTTATTATTTACCACTTTGCATTTTGATGGTAAGAAAATACAGATGATGTTGGGAAAATACAGAGATTATTTATTATGGGACATGACCTACTTTGCTAACTGCTCCCAGCACTGCCTGGCAAATTGATGTAATAATCAGAACAATATCATGAAATTATGTACCATTCATTTACCTGAGTAATGACTGGAGCAGGGCAGGTAGTTGTAGAAGACAAGCAACGTTTTGTGAAAACACAACCATCCCTGGCTTCACACCAGACACACTGGTACTGTGGATCAGCCGCGAGACATAAGCTGCAGTCATCTCGACCATAAGAACAGCTATATAAAGTCACTACAAAAGTAATGTGCATCTGCTTAGTATCAATTTCTAGTCCACAATTCAGAGCCACAAAAACAAATTGTAATGGAAGCATGGATCAAGATAAGAGGCAAAGCAAAGCAATGAGGTGAAACAAAATGCTGCTCCAATGGTCTTTTTTTTCATTTGTTTAGTTTCCTTTTAGATTTAGTGGACTGTGTTTAGCCATTTAAGCCTGGGTAAGAATGACTCTTGAGTGAAAAAAGGAGGGGACAAAAGAAGATTTGTTGTTATTGTTCTCCTTCTCATGTAGTTGATTCTTGTCATTCAGTAATCTACTGATCATTTGTTTAACAGACTTTTTTTTAGTCAGATTGACACATTATAGACTGACCTATGGAGATGGCTGTATCAGTTTTGTGTTTATCAGTTCTCAAATGGTTCTTACATTGGTAACTGTGGCATCTACACAGGGTTCAGGGCCAGATTCCCTCAAACAATTTGTGATAATGGCAAGCCAGTAGAGGTAAGGATGAGAAGAAAAAAACAAGTTTTGTCAAGAAACACCAGTGCAAAAAAACAGAACAGTGAATGAGCGGAGCTGGAAAAAGAGAACTGGAAACTAGTTGTTTGGAGCAAATAAGGAATAAATACAAAGCAATTTATTCTATATTTTGCAAAAAAATATAGATTCTGAAAAAGAAATCTGCAAGTAAATTATAACATAGATGTGACAAAACACTAGGGGATGAGATATTGAAAACACCTAAAGCCAAAACTATCATTAAATATGATGGTTTTGATTTAGATTTTTCTTCAAATAAAACATATTTTCTTTAATTTGTACTGACATTCCATTCTATAGAGTTCAGTCTTCCTACTATGAACACAGTCCCTACTATTTAACTAATACAACATATTTTTAGCAAAAACCCAGGCAGTCCCTAATTTTCACTCAACATTTTGATATACCAATACAGTTCAATCTATATCTCCAACATTTTACACTTCAATTTAAAGTCAAGGGAATCCAAATAGTATTCTGGCATGCTTTGAGGTTGACAGATAAGGTCAGAGACCATGGGTAGGGGAGCACTGCAGAGCACTGAAATCCCGATAAAAAATGCCCTGCCACTTTTTGTTATCATGATCATGAATCATGGAGAAAGACAGAGTCTCTCTTAAGCCTATAGTCCCCCTTAGGTTTTGTGTTGGTGGATGGATAAAGTTAACTGGAGCTGAATTTACAGAAGGAAACAATCTTGCAATAATACAATATTGTTGTGGGGAAAATAGGAGGAAGGAAGATGGTGAGGTATATTCACTGATAAAGTTACTCATAAAATAATAAAGGTGGATAAGAATCTAATAAGCAAATAATAAATAAATTCTAGACATAAAAGAAGGGCATTGTCCTCTAATGTCAGGACAGAGTTAGTAAATCCAGCATGTTAAATGGTTATATGAGTGCTGGTCATGTTTCAAAATAATCTGGAAGAGGTTTTTCCACACAGTGAATGCAGTGGTGGGTTTCCATTTTTTTTTGACTCGTTCGACTCTTCTGCACATGCACAGAAGCATCCGGGCGGGCGGGTGGAGCCNCTTCTTCTTCTTCTTCTTCTTCTTCTTCTTCTTCTTCTTCTTCTTCTTCTTCTTCTTCTTCTTCTTCTTCTTCTTCTTCTTCTTCTTAACCACTGTGGGGACTGGGGGCACATGTTTCCTAAATCAGTAAGTATACTAAAGAATTTCGAGTGCTGTTTAAGATTGCATTTCTCCCCAAAACACAACATCCAGCTTTACAGTATTTGTTTTCGGCTGTCTTCTATTTCTCTTCTAACTTAGCGTCAGGTGTTGAGCTTTGGGTTGGAAGTTATCTTCCCAACTACTGATAACATACATACAAGAAAGCAGGAGACAATAAGGACTCCAGAAATCTGCCTACTTCAAACTTTTAGAAGGAGAAAAAAAGCCCATCCATAATAATCAATGGGCAAGTGTTAATTAATGTCTGGTTTCTGAAGCTAAGCGCTGTCCTGCCAGTGAGCCCCTTTTACCTCGCCTCTGGGTAAATGAGGTTTGGCTGCCCTTTTCTGAGACAGCCCCAGGATACAAATGAGCCGGCACTCCCAGTAGACTCACCTGAAAGGTTAGCGGTTGTGCACAGCGTCTCCGATGAAACCCATGCAATACAAATGAGGATTTCAACAAAGAGCACTTAGATTTGATAAATAGGGACAAATTTTACTTTGATGCAAGGAGCTGAAGCTGCAGTGGCCAAAAAGGTGATTTATCATGGTGCCAACAAGGCACCAGCCATTAAGTCTTTCATGCTGGAACTATTGTTGTGACATCAAAAGTGTATGGTGAAAATGGATGATGGCCTCAGAACTGTGTTATGTTTAAAGATAAGCGTGCTTAAGTGTGAGGAGTGTAATGAGGGGGGCAAGCCCCTCATTTGCAATATTTTCAAGTCCACACATTTGTCAAAATATCTCATGATGGCATTGTCATGTTTGCTACTTTTCCTCCCCTGATACTCAGCTGTTACTTAATTATTGATGCCATGAGCTTTCTAGTTCTTTCAAGACTAGGGGAAGGAGAGAGGAAAGGAATTAGGGAGGGCAGCAAAATAGACTTCTGAGGTGAAATATCTGGTAGCCTCCTAGACTTTGATGGCCATCCTTAAATATTTTTTAAAAAAGCAAGGAACTGAAGGCCTAAACCAGAGATAAGATTTAATTAAACGCTGGGCCTTCAGGGCTTGTTTCTGTCTACTGCAGAAGATACAACCCCCCCCCTAATATAAAAGCCATTTAATAAAGACTTTTATTAAAATAATAAAGGAAGAAATGTACTAATTACATGACAGGAGAGCAATGACATTAGCAATCACATATGATTTAGTTTTTTTCAACAAAACACAAATGGAAAGAAATAAAATTTAGTTTTGATTCTGGTCTCAATAATTATGTTCTGGAATGCCATTCTGTAGCTTCCTATGAGTCCAAGTGGCTTGTGAAAACACCTCAGATAACCCCCTCCTCCAATTCCTATGAAAATAAAAGAGGAAGGAAAGGGAACACTGTCACATTTGCAAGTTTGATATCAGCTGTACAAGGTAGACCAGATTAAAAAACAGACCCTGTGCAGGGTTACAAGTAATAATAACAGAATCTTGCAAGTTGGAGCCTTCGTACAGTTCAGGATTGAATATGTCAGCATCTTAATTCTCCTATATAAGATGCACCAATAAGATGCATATCAAGAGAATGGGCTCTATACAGTTATATTGTACGTTATTACCAAATTTATTATAATGACAAGCAGTGGTGGGTTGCCAATTTTTTTTACTACTGGTTCAGGTGCGCTTGCGCACGTGCTCTCTCATGCATGCATTGTTTCTGTGCATGCGCAGAAGCATCCAGGTGTGTGGGCAGAGCTTCCCACTGCAACTACTACCAGTTCACCCAATCCAGGCCAAACCTGGTTACAGGAGGTATGTCCTTCAAGGTCTTGCGAATGGCTATACTTGGTTTGGTGGTTTGAGACAATGATGGGTTGTTTATTTTTGGCTTGCCCTGTGGTGGTCTCTCATGAGGAATAAGACACGCAGGCAAGATGTCTCGGGATGAGAGCTCAGAACAGACTCTGAAACACCCTTTTATTCTTATTACACTCAATAGC